CACACGCCCAGAGAGAACGGAAAAGAGGAAGGAGGTGGGACAAACAAAGAAAATCATACGAGAGAGTAGGCTAGCCCATGGAAATGGTAAAGGGAGGAGGTGAAAAGAGAGCCCAGGGGAAGGTGGTTTACTATAACCAACAAAAAAAGAGAGAGAGAGAGAGGGGGGAGGGGGGGCAGGCAGACAGGGAATACAGAAAAAGTTGAACAGATAAAGAAATCGGTGGGTCTAAGACTAAGTCTAAGTACTGCAGGAACTAGGAAAAGGTGAGCTTGGCAAGATGAACAAAGGAAAAACTGCCCCTGTCCCGGGGCGGCAGAGTTGTGGATGGGCGATGACGTCAGTTTTGGCGCCCTGTCAAGCCTCGGTCTGGTCCGTCACGTGCTGGGGCCGCTCTGACTATATAAACTTTTACATTTACAGAGACGCATGAAATCTGATTTACTCTTATTTGACGGACTCATACCTTTTTCTTCGGTAGTTCTGATTACAGGTAAGTTGCCATTCCACGAGTATGATTGTTTGATATGAGAATTATTAGAGTCCTTGAGTGTGTTTTCAGAAAAGGAAGGACTTCTTTGGAATTTTATGTCTCAACTGTGTTAAAAAGTCTATTTTTGCCCTCGACACGTCTTCTGATCAGCTGGTTCCAGACAAAGGCAGGTTGGGAGAGAACCACCTGTGAGGTTGACCCTCTCCTTTATCCTAAAACTTTTGATTATCTCACTTTTTGGGGGTTTTTTTCCGGTCAAGTTGAGTCTCGTACTGCGCAGTTGGTAAGATAAAAATGGGAAAAGAGTTCTGCGTCTTGATAGCGAGCTGCTATGCTGTTTGTAAACAATAAGCACGTGGAATTCTCCCCAGATATTTTTAGCGCCCACTTGGCAAATGGGGTCAAAGTTGAGGGGGTCAGCTGTGAGCCGTTTACCTGTCGGGGGTACCCGCTGAGCAGTGTTTTGGCCTCACTTAGAAACTTTCTACCCACTTGTAGGCTTCTGCGCACTTGGCTCTGACCACCGTGTTGTTGAGCCTCGAAACGCGAGTAATGCGCATGACTGTGTTTCTTCCATAGATAACTCAATGTTGGCTTCTGCGGTGACGTCATTCCATCGACAGGCGAATAGCGAACGTCGTTTCGGGATGTCTTCGCCTTCATCGTCGGCTGCTTGTAGCTTGCCTGTCGCTGCTGTAGCTGGAATCCAGGCCTCGGCCTCTTCCACCAGCACATCTACAGCCACAGTGACCGCTGGGCATTCCACCAGCCCCGCTTTCTCTCCAGACCTTCAAGCGCAAAAGTCTGTGCTTGAAAGTCTGTTAGAGCGAAAGCTGGTTGAAGGAGACTTTTGGTATGTCATAGTGGCCGAGTGGTTGGAGCAGCTGAAAAAGTATCTCAGTATTTGCAGTACACGCAAATACTACGGCCAGCGCCCATCCAGCCCTCCAGGACCTATACTGACTAGACGAGACTATGCACACACGGTGGACGTTGTGCATGAGGACGCCTGGCGTATGCTGATCACATGGTATGGACTTGCTGAAGGTCACAAGCCTATGAAACTGGTTGTGTACAAGTACGCCAGAGGACCGGAGATCGAACACAATATCAACTCTTTCAAGATCATGATGAGCAACTCGGCACCAGAAGACTTCCACATCGTTCGCTTTAGCAAAATGGAGAAAGTTGGTCACGTGGAACACAAAGCTAGACAACTCTATGGCATAAACCCAGGACATGAGACGCGACTTTGGGCTAAGCCAGAGGCAGACACTGAATGGCGTCCCCTGTTTTGTCGTGACAAATCCGTGGGCGTGGTTTTGGACATGGACTCGGACTTCATTCGGCCTGTGCTCGCGCTGGAGCTTCAGGACGAAGAGGGGCAGTGGATGGGCGGGCCCGAGGAGACGGAGGCGGGGCCTGTGGACGAGAAGAGAGGTCAGCTGGTGGAGACGAGTATGTTTGAAGACGTGACTGCTACGTGGGAGGTGGACATTCATGAACAGATTGAGCAGGCAGGCAAGACTTTACTGGGGGCACTACACAGCAACTTCAACGTTTTCCTACAGGTATGATGAGAGAAATGTAACCTGGCTACTTTGTTTTTCTTTTCACTTATATATTTTAGATGAAGTATTGTTTTAAAATGTATTCATTTAGATTTAAATATAGTGACATGGCTCCTAGGTTTCTTTTCACTTAGATTTAGATGAAATATTTTTTTTAAAAAAGTATTCGTTTTAGTTTTACAACATCCATGCTCAATGGTTCATAAAATAATATTTGAAACTGGCACACATAGATCTAGATCTAATTCTTTGTGACTTTCATTGTTAAGTAACGTAACCACGTTACTTTCGGTGCTAGAAGGTGTGCAGGTCCAATATTGGGACTGGTCGTTTTGACGGTGTCGTAAGCTTTTGTGCTCATGGTCTTACGTAATATGAAGTCACTTTGTGTTAATTATTTTACTTCAAAACAAATATCAAACAATATACATGTAATAATATATATATATTTAAGTTAACCTCCACCCCACCCCCA